AGAATGACCGGTCATTTCGTTGTCAATTGGAGTCATTTGAAAATCGGTCAAATGACCTGGTCATTTGCCATCACTGGTTTATATAGAATTGAACATTATCATTTTGAAAACTGTTAAAATAATACCTCGGCTTATATTCGATGTTATTAACATTGTCATATTTCTTAAAACATCAAAGCAGTCATCTTTTCTCTAATTCAAAATAATTATTTACTTTATTCGTATTATCAATTTTTTTTTTCATTTTCCTTGAATTTAAAACCATGAGCTGTAGGTATTTTATTTTGTTTGCAATTAACGTTAATTATTTAATATTATATATCCAAGCTTTCGATTTCCATTATACCATTTGTTTTTTCGACGTAGTTATTATAAAATTATAATTACAATTATAATAACGTTTATAAAGCGTACTATAGCTCAATTTAACAATGGCGAAACTCTACCTATATTCGATTTTGGCCTCGCAAACGAAATAGATCGAATATTATATAAAATTGGTTTTACAAGCTTTCAAGCCGTGCCTCACTTATAAGGACTAAATTTATAAAATATAATTAATTATGGTAATTAATTAATTATTTATTTTTATATAATCAAAAATAATTGGTTAAGGAGCCTTATATTCGATTATGAAACGTTAATTGTCCTCTGGAGCATAAAAAAAAGTTTGAAACCGTCATATAATAAAGTACTATAGACCGAACCGGTTTTATCAGGACCAAACCCACCCTATTTTTGATTTAATTGCAATTTATTTTAGTCATTGTGAGCGTCATCGATCTACTATAGTTCGATTTTGTAGAATGGGTATAAATACAGACTTTGACGAATACTTGCATGTAATGTTGTATATCCTTACCTACATCATAAATCGTAAATGTGGAAATTCCAAGAATCTAAGTTGATAAAATTATATTGAAATGCTAATTAATTTATTTAGTTCACCGTTATTTTATTTTGAAATTGACTATTTTAACTAATGATCCAGCAAAAAGAAAATATACTATAAGCTGAGCGTATTTTACAGGCCGGAATTAGTCAAAAGATTCCGAGCGACATTATCTAAAAAAGGATATGTAACCGAATACTTCGTCGCAAAGAAATTACCCGAATAACTTTTGAATTTTCGTCACAATTGAAGAATTAATTGTTGCAGATACTGTACTTAACAAAATAATTGCTAGAAATCAGTGTGGCTTATCATGCAAGTGAGAAATTATTTTAATAAAAAAAAAAGTGGAAAGAAAGTCGGTAATGGTTTACGTCTAACATTAAATCCTTTTTGCTTTGTTGGGCTAGTACTTTGAGAAACAGTTAAAGATTTCTTAGGAGATACTACTGAAACTAAAACCTGAGCTGGAGCTGGAACTGGAACTGGAGAAGGCAGTGAAGACATTCAGAAAGGTTTATGTCCTAAAGCAGCAAAAATAGCGCCTTAGTTATTAGTATTACAGGAAAGTATGAAGATTTCTGTGGAATAAATAAATATTTATCTGAGTTTTCAGTCGATATAGACTTGGATGGATAGATTTATTTGGCTGGAAAGGTATTTTGATGAGGTGTATGTGAAATGGTATTAGATGTGTTTTCCTTTTTCTTTATTATTGGGTTATTGGATGTTATTAGATTCTGGAAAGAAGAAATTGGAACGGCAGTTTAGGAACTAGATTTTCATCCGGGATAGATTAATTGATAAATGGTCCATCATATTAATATTCATTTCTGGCGCTGGTATTGTCGGAGAAGGTGCAATCCGTCTACGTGGTCTATTCTTTGGAATTTTGTTGAATGCATTCTCTTTCTATTCTTTGTAATTGACTTTGATCGCTCGATGCATCTTACCCAATCCGATCCAAGAAAATCCCATTTAAATAATGACTTGTATTAAGATTATTTACAGGCAGTGTTTTAGGTTTTTCTTGTTCAAGTCCGGGAATTTGAAAAAACTCTGAATTTTTATTATCAATAATCTCAATTGCTTTAGTTAGTTGTGGGCGATCTTTAGTAACATGATCGTATGTTTCGTTCGTTATGGATGATGATACTTCAAACGTATTATCAAGTATTGTAGGTTGATACTTTTTTCTCATTATTATAATTAATCTTAAGGGCTTGCCGAACCAAATATATATGACCCAGCTGAACATTTTGTAGCTGAATAACGTCCACGATCATCGACTTTTGCATTTGACCAAGCTAGTACTCTATCGCCATTGTTGATGGAATATTTACCGGTATTGATACAAAACCTAAAACTTCACCATCTTATTTTTTGATATCTTCAACAAAAAAAAATAACAGTTTAGTCCATCATATGGGTGGTGTGCTATTAAAATTGAGGTACAGATCATATGATTTACTATGTCTCGTGCCTCAATTTCAATAGTATACCACCCATATTATAATGATTTGGAAATACATTCAAATCTACATCGGCTTTAGGAGCCGGTTGTAAAGAAGCGGAACGTGCAATGTAAACAGGAAGTTGAACTGCAAGATCCTTACTATAAAATACAAATAAATAAAATAAATAAAGTAATCTTGTGATTTTTTTCATATTTTATATTTTATCATTACATACGTGAAAGGTCCCAGTTATAAACATATTACAAAATGACGCACAACTTCAAATAGTGCCGTATTTTTTATGGACTTTGCATTTTTCTAAATAAATATATTTTTAATATTAATTTGAAAAAACAAATAATAATAAATAAAATTACAATTAAAACAAAAAGCACACTTACTGGAACATTAATATATGAAATGTTTTCGAACGATCCCCTCAACAATCAAATAAGTAATTCTTATTTTTAACCCATGCTTCAATTATTGTATTGTTAACCTCATCAATTTTTTTTTATTTTCATTAGCAAGAATTAAAAGTTTATGCGTGATAACAATCTTTAACCCTTGAAACTAAAAAATAAATTGAATTAATAGGTTGAACTAATATATAAATAGTTACGAATAAAAATATCTACATTAATTTTATTTACCAATATTTGGGGTTCAATTTTCACCTTAACTTGCACACTAACATTTCCACTATTTTGAAATAACATTTCTGCCATGCTCCTTCCAGCGTAACTGTATCCGACCCACCTATTCGTAATTGTTTACGATAGACAACATTTACAGGTTGTTTGTAGATTGGATTTTGTCCACCCCAAGCCTCAACTACAAAGGCCTTCATTTGATTTTAATAGTGTATCTTTATTATTATTCTTAAATTGAACAAATCTTGATAACAAAATTTAAAAAAAATCCACTAAGAATTACTTACACAGTTACAATATTTTTAGACATGCCAGGATTCACTACTTAACAGAAATTGGAGCATCAACAGAAATTCTAAAAGCAAACGGAAAGTGGTCTTTCCTTTTCTCGTTGCGTTGTCCAATAATCATTTTCTTTTGGACCATGTACAGCATTAGGGGGGGGGAGAGTAAATTTTCATTTTGAAAAACTAGAAGATAAAAGGATTGTGAAGTAAAATCTTTTAAAGATAATTCTTCATAAGTTATTAGTTCAAGAAATTTCTTCAAATTTTAATGAGCGTGCAAAAAAACTTGTCAATACTATTCATCCAGTTAATAAACCTCCTACAGTAAATATTGAAATAAACTGGCGCTGCTTTTTTTCAGCGATCTTACCTCTTCCTGTGTTCTCTGGAAAAACTCCAGCATGAAATAAAAATTTTCTCCTTGATATTGTTTACTCCTAAGCGTACTTACTGGCTTAGATAACTGTATATTCACTTCTTTTTCTAGAATTTTATCTTAAATCGATGAGGGATACTTGGTGGCGAACTTTGTCCTTTTTTCTTTCTCACGATATTGACAAGACTAAAAGAAAAATGTTTTAGTGAATGCAGTTAAAGTTCGTAAGGGTCTGCTTTTTCTAGCGGTAGAAATTGCTACGTATATTCCCTTATGTTGTAACTTACCAAAACAAAGATAATTTTGTTAGGTTTGTTTTGCCTTTAACTGCAATTCGCGAGTAGGTGTTCCTTTGAGATACCCCCCATTCCTTGGACCCTTTGCCGACGTCGATAATGTAAGTTACCTATATTTATTTATAATATTTGCTCTTTAGTCTTGTCATATGAGTTGGATTATTTTTATCCTCGTATAATAAAAATATATTGTTTTGGTATATTATAAATAGTAAAATTATGAAATAAAAATGTCGTATCATGCATAAACTAAAATTTTATATTAAGTTCGATCAATCAGACTTTGCATATATACAATATACTGTACTGTATATTACAACAAATGTAAAAACAACCATCTTGTATTCGTAGTCGATGCTTTGATGGTCTCTTCTCGTTACTAGGATTATCAGATAATAAATTATTGGATTTTTAGCATATTCTGAAATATGGAAACTTTGAAAATACTGTATTAAGATCAAACGATGGAAGATTTTACGATTCGTCAAATTTTGATGGTACAATAATTCACATAGAAGAAATCAGGATTAGACATCTTATTTATTCAAAAAATGAATTTTTATGAAAAATATCATACCTTTCAGGAAAAAAATATTTTAAAGCATCTTTATATTTTTAATTATGCATTTATCCAACTACAATAAAGCTTCTGTATAATTTTTTTGCAAATAAAAATCATACTTCATTGTTTGAAATATTAAACCTATTAAATTTATCGATTATAAATCAATCAATAAAGATACTTCACAGAAAAATTACAAAATTTGTTAAGAAATGTCTCTTTTGATATTAAATCAAATCAAATCACGAAGAATAGTAAATCATATGATCCATGAGTGGTAGGTCGTATAATTGTTCTAATAATTAAAAATATAAAAATTTCAAATATATGACCAGGTTCCCTTGCAAAAAGACCTAATCCATGTTCAACTTCAGAGATTTGTATTTAATCTTATTAAAAAAAATATAAAGAATATTTGTTAGAACAAGATCTTCAAGTATGTAAAATGAAAGACCTATTATGGTGAAAAAAAAATAAATACTTTACTCTTTTTCAGTCCCTCACAGTTTAACTTCTTTTTATGAGTGATTTGATAGAAAAAAATTAATTTCGCGGCGATTTGGTAATGACTTAATTTCATCCTTAAATTTAAAACAAAAATATTATGACCTTTTACCATACCAGCGTAAAAAGTCATTAGGAATAAAATTTCTAAAATAGAAATACATATCCAATCGATATTTAATGACTATTTTAACAGAACCTTCCTTTTATCTAAGACCAAAATTTTATTCATTAGCATGTTATATTGTTTAATAAAAGATTTTCAAACTTTAAATAAAACATACATACGCTTAATTCTTTTAACTTTGATAAAAATTTCTAATAAATAATTACCCGATAAATATAATGTTTGAATATATTTCTTAATTTGTTTAGCCTTATCAGATCAATTATAAAGAGTTCTACATATAAAATATAAACATATTAATAATCATATCAAAAAAAAGATATAACCTTTCAAACAATTATACAACATTACTACCTGTAGGAAGGCCCACCACCATCTTTCTAGTAAAATTTCTAAATAAGGTAATGGTTAAAATAAATTATTAAGAACATGATTAGGCTGGTCTTGTAATATTTTTAAATATACAAAATTTCATATCATACTTTTCAAAGGCAAGCCCTTTTAACAAAAAGATTTATATATAAACATCTATATCAAAGTTAAGTTCGGCAAACCTTAGTCCCGATATATTTATATTGTTTATAAACCCAAGTACCTGATATTTACACGAATAAAGAAGCGATGGAATAATACTGAAATGACTTAGATTTATAAAAATAAAAATCGTGAAATACATACAATTATTTTTTTTAATAAAGTTTTGTAATTCTTACTTCTTCTCTTGCTATTTCTCGACCTCTTAGTTTTACTGCAAGAATATCTTTCGAAGTACATATGGAATAGCATCACTAGTATTATAATTTATCTAAAAAGATAAAGCTCTTGTTAAAATGACTAAAAATGCAAAAGAAAGATCTCGTTAAATAAATTTTTTAATAATCGGTTCAACAAATTTATTTACTTAATTACGTGTTTAAACGGCCTAAATGATTCAGAAATTAAAATATTATAACTTATGAGTATTGTATTGTCGTTGTGGAATAGTTCGCGAGATTTCTTAGCCAGCTATTCTCGGGTACGACTCCCACAACGTGCAATATATTGAGTATTTGTTTGATAACGAGTTTCTATATCGAGGTAGTCCATGGGATAATATCCCTGCAAATGCTGAAGATCCTTCTATAATTCCGGTTAGGTGTTCCCGTGTTGAGCCAGGGTTAATTATCAACTTTGTGGGGTCTAGTTGGTAGTGGCTTATCAATTATGTGCCCAATTTCTCCAGTGCGCAGGAGTAAGCTTTAACTACCAAGTTACAAGCAGGCATTCAATGTCAACTCAAATTTTTTATTATAATATTTTATTTGATTTTTTATATATACGAGTAACCATTTTTCTTTTAATATATTCAAATTTTTATTTATTGCTTCTTACTATTCAACTATATTTTAACTACGCTAGATTTATAAGTTCCAAGAACCTCAAAGATTTAATTCCTAAGTTCTACTAATAACGAGATATAATTAATCGTGACATACCAAAAGTGATTATTAAAAGCAAAAATAACGTAAAGTTAGTTTTTGACAAATTTGCTCCTTTTTTTATTTATACATTTAAATTATCATCCATCATATTACCATTAGAGGTTGGAACCGGTTCAACACAATCGAATTAAAACCGGTTCAACCCGAATTTAATATAAAACCGGTTCCGATTTTTCAACTTTGATAA